TAGAAATCTAGAATTTGTAGTTTTGTGAGACATTTAGCCTTCTCTGTCAGAGAGCTCTGGTTCCACAAGAAACTACAAATCCCAGGATTCCATAGGATGGAGCCATAGCAGTTAAAGCAACGTCAAACTGTATTAATTCTTCTGTGCAGATGTAGCCTCATTCATTAACCGAAATGGAGACTGTGGTCAAGAAATTAGAAGACAGAAGGTTAGCTATGAAGGAACCAGATATGATCCTCAAGTGCAGAGGTATAGCATTGAATACTAAAGTCAGGATCCTCCATTCCATTGTATTTCCATTTTCTGTGTTTGGTTATGAAAGCTAAATAGTGAAAAAAGCTCATGAGAAGTTAATAAAATAATCTGAAATGTGGTGCTGGATGGAAGTTCTACCTGGAAGAGCATTTAAATGACACCATGGACCACCAAAAAGACCAATAAGTAGATCCCAGAACAAATCAAGCTCAAACTCTCCCTAGAAGCAAAGATGACTAAACCGAGACTGTTGTTGTTGTTGTTGTTCTTATTGTTGTGTGCCTTCAAGTTGTTTCCAACTTATGGCGACGCTAAAGCAAACCTATCATAGATTTTTCTTGGCACGTTTCTACTGAGGAAGTTTGTCACTGCCAACCTCTAAGGCTGAGAGAGTGTGACTTGCCCAGTGGGTTTACATGGCTGAGCTGGGATTTGAACCCTGGTCTGCAGAGTCATAGTCCAACACTCAAACTACTCCACCATGCTGGCTTGAGGCTGTCATACTTTGAACATATCATGAACAATATGACTTATTGGAAAAGACAATAATGTTCAGTGAAATAGAAGGCAGAGGCAGTGTGGTATAGTGGCTTGACATTCTGGGGACCAGGGTTCAAATCCTGACTTGGCCATGTAAACCTACTGAGTGACCCTGGGCAAGTCACAATCTCTCAGCCTCAGGGAATGGCAATGGAAAATCTCCTCTGAAGAAACTTGCCAAGAAAGCCCCATGATAGCTTTGCTGTAGGGTTGCCATAAGTCATAAATAACTTGAAGGCAAATAACACAACACACAAAATGGAAGGAGTAGGAAAAAAGGGAGATCACATAATTGTTTGATTCAATCCAGATAGTGGATGGTTTCAATCAAGGAAACTACTGCCCTGAATTTGGCAAATGTGCTGCATTTGGAAGAGCTGAGCAAGGCTGTTGGTAGCCATGGCTCATCCAATTTATAGGGTTGCTTGCCATTGCCTACTTGCCAATCCCCCTAAAAACAAAAACCCAACTCCTCTGGCTGACTCTTTAATGTTCTAAAAGTCAAAAAAACAAAGGCCATCTCTCTGCAAAATTGTCTGCATGAGCTGTTGAGTAATTTCATGTAAAATAGGTTAACTTTATTCTTTAGACTCTAAGATCTTTCTAAATCACTCTGACGTTTGTAGGACAAACACAGTTTCCCAATGTTTTGCTATACATATTCTAACAGTTAGCAAAAGGGTAGATTCATGCAAGGTCAGCTGTTTGCATATCATCCTTTCAACGTTCTATTCTTTCCTTAGGATCTAATGATAATTAATAAATCTTTAATGAGGAATATTAGAAAACAAAAAGATTTCTTTCCAGAATTCCTGGGTACAAACAACAGAGATACATACATGTTCCTGGTTATTTCTTCAATGCAACACAAAAGCCCTATAGTATGGGGAGATACATGGGTGTTACAGAATGAAAATCTCACCAACACTGTAAAAAATTCCTTTGGTATATAAGTTGTTGTGTGCCTTCAAGTCATTTCCGACTTATGGTGACTCTAAGGCGACCCTATCAGGGGGTTTTCTTGGCAAGTTTCTTCCAAGGGGAGGGTGGCCCAAATATCCTAAAGGCACCAGATCCTGTCTGATCTTGGAAGCTAAGCAGAATCAGCCCTGGTTAGTACTCAGATGGGAGACCGCCAAGGAATGCCAGGTGCTGAAGGCTGTATGTCATAGGAAGGAACTGGCAAAACCAGCTCTGTGGATTCCTCTCTTAGGAAAACCCTAGGAAATTTATGGGGTTACTATAAGTTGACTTGAAGGCACATACACACTATACTATAAGCGTCAAGTTACTTTTTAAAGGTCCTGTCTGATTTTGGAAGCTAAGCAGATTGACCATTAACAAATACCAGGAGCTGTTGGCTTTATTTCAGAGGAAGGAACTGGCAAAACCACTTCTGAGGATGCTTTGTCTAAGAAAACCCTATAGACCCGGTCTACTTCCTCAGACGCATGATGTTCATTCTACCAAAGCCTATCCTACAACTTCTTTCACACAGTTACTCTGAAAAATGCTACAAGATCCCTTTGCATTCAAAATGTGGTATGTAATTCTTGTGTTTAATTGTAACATTGTACATTTGAACTTGGAGAGCCAGCATGACACAGTGGATTGAATGCTGGACTATGAGCCTGGGGACTGGGGTTTGAATCCTTGGCTCGGCCATGAAACCCACTGCATGATCTTGGGCAAGTCACATACTCTCAGCCTCAGGGGAAAGCAATGGCAAACCTCTTCGGAACAAATATTGCCATGACAGGGTTGCCTTAGGGACACCGTAAGTCGGAAACAACTTGGAGGCACGCAGCAACAACAAACATTTGAACTCCAACACCAAATGTGCAACCATAGGCACAACCCAATCTGCATGCACATCTATGTTCAAGCACATTGGCTGAGATTTTACATCATGGTCTACCCTTTGTAACTTTACTAATCTGTAGCAAATTTGCAGAAACACAACCAAAACCCTATTAGTGAATTGCAAAGATGTGCACCTGGGCAAGAGCATTCCAAAGAGCACCAGGCACTTCTGTTGTGCTCCAGTACTTTCTAGCTGGTGTCCTGATGTGCATCAGTGCCCAGTACACATCAATCACTCCATCGGCTATCATTGTGCAAGAGATGCTCATGCACAGCACAGTGGGCCCTTGGTGTCTGCTGGAGTTTGGTTCTAGGACTCTCTGTGGAAATCGGTAGATGCTCAAGTCCCATGATGTACAATGGCATAATAAAATGGCATGCCTTATATAAATTGGCAAAATCAGGGTTTGCTCTTTGGAATATTTTTGGAATTTTCTCAAGCCAAGAATGACTAAATCTGTGGATGCAGAATCCATGGATACGGAGGCCAACTGTAATGTCATGCCATTACTGGGTCAATACAGACATTACAAAATTATGGTACTTAAATCTGTTTCCTGCACACATAAGTCCACTTGCGAAGACCTAAGTGCCATACTGAATTCCAGCCATGTCACCCAATGTTCATGCATTTCCATGCACAATATGTACCCATGCACAAGGGAACCACATGTGTAACTCTACTTCTGCAGCCTTGAACTGAACGCAGATGTTCTGCATAAGACCAAAAACATCCATCTATTTCTGTGGGGAAACGTACATATGTGTAAGACACCAACAGGATTCTGGCAAGTATCTTGAATTATAAAGGTTAGCCCCCATCACAGCAGACCTATTAAATCAACTGTTGAATGGGGAATCAACACATAAATAGATCTCATTGAATGAATGGGTCTCCTCTGGCTGAGAGTAATAATAGGATCAAGTTAATCCAGGCCAGGAATGATGAGATAAGGAAAGCAATATGAAAGTTAGCAACAAAGTGAAGCGGCTCTTGGATGGTAATCCAGCTTGCATGTGTCAAACACATGGAGCATGAAGAGCTCTGCTGGGACTTGCAAGCCCTCAAGTCTTGAAATGGATAGGAATTTCACCAAAAGAGGATCAAGACATAAACCCTAGCAAGAACCAAGACTAGGGAGATAAATGGAGCTTTGAGGGACCCCATAAGAACATCTCTCAGGGATGCTTTAGTTGTGTATTCCTGCATGACAGGGGATTGGACTGGATGGTCCTTGTGGTCCCCTTCCAACTCTAGGACATAATCTGGACTGCAGAAATAATGCAACAGCTTTAATTGCTGTAGCTCAATGCTATGTAGTTCTGGGATCTGTAGCTTTGTGAGATATTTAGCCTTCTCTGTCAGAGAGCTCTGGTGCCACAACAAACTACAAATCCTAGGATCCCATAGCATTGAGTCATGGAAGCTAAAGCAGTGTCAAACAGCATTATTTCTGCAGTGCAGATGCAACCTAGGAGTCTATGAATGCGTGTCAAGTTCCACCAGGGGGAACTCATGTTCTTAAGACCCTCCTTGGGTTATGTGCAAATGGTCTCTTTATTCATGTAGTTATATTCTTTTTCTGCCTCCTTCCCTCCTCTCCTTCCTTCCTTCCTTCCTTCCTTCCTTCCTTCCTTCCTTCCTTCCTTCCTTCCTTCCTTCCTTCCTTCCTTCTCTCCACCCCAGTGCATGCAACAGCCTTTCCAGCTTCCAGGGAGTCAGGAAGCTTTCGGTCCTGCAGGGTTTTCTCAAAAGGTCAGAGTATCTTTGGCACAGAATCTGGGTCAGATGCATTTGTGGGATTGTAGCCAGGTCAGCAAGAAATCAGGACTGGAGGGGTGGAGAAGGGGAAGAGATAGTGTCCCAGTGTGACAGCTTGAATTCACAACAGGCGATCTTGTGCAGTGAAAAGTCCTTTGGAGCCACATAATTGGATTCAGTCCCATTGAACAAAGACAGCACCCTCCTCCTTTTTTGCCTGGCTTGGTTGGAGATCCTTCTTTTGTCCTTGATTTTTTTCCATTCAAACCGCCCCTTCCCACATGCCAAGAGCTGTTCAGAAAACCTTAATCTTCACCCAGCCCAATCCACAATCCTGACTTAAAAAGATGAACCTGGAACTACAGGGAAAATGAATACCTGTCAGATTCTGATTTAAGCCTTTTTGGCTCAGGATGGTTTCTGTGAAGAACAGACAGCAGGCAATCTGCTTTGGGTTTCAGACTGAAATTTAAAAGAGCAGCCCTGGTGCTGAAGTGTTGTTGTTGTGTGCCTTCAAGTTGTTCCAGATTTATGGCAATCCTGAGGCTATCACACAGAGAGAAAGTGACTTGGGTTTCCATGGCCAAGCAGGGATTTGAACACTGATCTCCAAAGTCCTAGTTCAATGCTCTAGCCACTATGCAACTCTGCATTTAAAACTTATCCCTCAAATAAATTCTCAGCACTACTCAGCTTCTGTATGAAGACCACCCAAAGGAGGAAACTCCATCACCCTCCGAAACATATCCAGGGGTAGCTGTGCTGGCCATATAGCAAAGTACAATAACACCCCAAACCCACAACACTGTGACACCTTTATTGGGCCAACCAAAATGCATAAAATACGTGTCGCAAGCTTTCAAAGCTCCACTGGCTTGTAGTCTATTCCTGAAACAGTGGTTCAGATGGGTTTCAGCACTTTGGACAGCTCTTTGAAAGTTCAGGAAACAGTCCCCATCCTGAAGTCGAAGGTTTTTGTGGCTGGCATCCATAGTTTTCTGTGGGCTTTTTGGGATGTGTGGCTGCATTCTGGAAGAATTGATTCCTGACGTTTTGCCTGCAACTGTGGCTGGCTGGCATCTTCTCTGAAGATGCCAGCCACAATTGCAGGTGAAACATCAGGAATCAATTCTTCCAGAACATGGCCACACAGCCCGAAAAACCCACAGAAAACAATTCCCATTCTGTTTTGGAAATGGTGTTCATCACCTAGGATAGCCCCATTAAACATCAAACCAAAAGTCCAGAGCAGATTCACCATTCCAGTGACATGGCAGCCAAGAGCTGTCATTGTAGACCAGCAGTAGACAGATAAGATGATGAAATCTCCCAAAGAGAGGAGAATTTTTATATTGTGGAATTCTTAGAATTCTAGAATTGTTAGAAACCTCAAGGGCCATCCAGTCAACCCCTTCTGCCATGCAGGGATACACAATCAAAGCACCCTGACAGATAGCCATCCAGCCTCTGTTTAAAAATCTTCAAAGAAGGAGACTCCACCACTCTCAAAAACAGCATCTTCCGCTGTCAAACAGCTCTTACCATAAGCACTAGCCCCCAAGTGGATGGTGGCATTACAACCGTACCAGTATCCTTTGAAAAATGCATCCATCTCCATTTTTAATAGGTTTAATTTTTTGGAAGGGGTGTAGCAGACAGTGGCAAACCTCCTCTGAACAAATTGTGCCAAGGGCACCCCATGATAAATGGGTGTTTATCATATACATGCTCATGTGTATTGTGTGCCTTCAAGTCGTTTCTCACTTATGGCAATCCTAAGGCAACCTCATCATGGGGTTTTCTTGGCAAGATCTGTTCAGAGGAGATTTGGCATTGCTCTTCACCTGAGGCTGAGAGAGTCCATAAGTTGGAAATGACCTGAAGACATCCTACAACTACAACAACATAGCTATGAACAGGCACATGTTTACAGTGTGGCTGATTCTCTGATGCCCATTCAGAGCAAAGGCTCATAGCCTCACTCTGAACTGGCTTTACTGTGTTACCACCCTATTAAATCTGATCAGCTATGTGCAATGAAAGTGCTCTTTTCATGGGATCCCTGAGTGGCTAGCATTGCTCAGGAGAGGAGGATACCTGAGTGGAGGAAAAGTCCCCAGAATCAGCAGCAAAGAGCCAGTGCTGGAAACAAAAATGGTGGAAAAGTACCATCAAGGGAGCCTCTCCCAACAACGTACCCATTTCTCCCTGAAACAAGTTGCAGGTGAATATTTCATAGAATCATAGAATCATAGAGTTGGAAGAGACCACAAGGGCCATCCAGTCCAACCCCCTGCCATGCAGGAACTCCCAATCAAAGCATCCCCAACAGATGGCCATCCAGCCTCTGCTTAAAGACTTCCAAGGAAAGAGACTCCACTACTCTCCGAGGGAGTGTGTTCCACTGTCGAATCATTTGTTGTTGTTGTGTGTGTGCCTTCAAGTTGTTTCCAACTTATGGTGACCCCCAAGGTGAACTGATCACAAGGTTTTTTGGGGTGAGAGGGTGTGACTCACCCAAGGTCACCTTGCAGGTTTCCATGGCTGAGTGGGGAATCAAACCCCGATCTCTAGAGTCCTAGTCCTATGCTCGAACCACCACACCACTATCCCCATGATACCTGCATGGAAAAAATGGCTTGCTCCTCACAGCAGGAATTTAATTGAGAACTAGGTACAGATCCCATCTCCATGCAAATGGCCACATTAAATAAAAGCCAGAGAGGGAGGTGGGAATTACCAGAGGGAGCTGTTTCTAAAAAGGTGCATGTCCTTAAACTGCAGCTGTGCTCTTTAATATTCAGATTACTTTCCTCTGGAGGTCTGCTCTTGCCAGATCTTCTGCAAACACAGTATGCAATTGAATTTGTTCAGAGCAGTGCAGCTGGAAGGAGTGCAGGTAAGAAGAAGAGAAGGGTAGCCATCTCTTCTGGCGAAGGAGCAGGTGAATATCTCCCACCTTAATGCTACCTTTCTATGGTGGTGGGACTCAAGCACTTGTGAAGCAAGAGGCTATGCTCATGGTAGCACTGCTGGTAGGGTCTCCTATGTCAGACAGGCTTTTGCTGAGGAACCAAATGAAATAATAATAATAATAATTGTGTCAAACAGCTCTTGGGCAGCAGCAGTAGTGGGGGTCTGACACCGGCGGAGGATCTCTCAGACACAACAGTAGTGGCACCATGGATGTATGTGCCATCAAGTCTGCTGTGGACATATGGCATGAATTTCATAGGGTCTTCTTAGGCAATGTAATGAAGACTCTGAACCTGCAGAATTACTAAAGTCCAAGTCTTCTATGGAATCTTTTTATCCTTTGTTTACAGAGGTGGCTAGAGAAGAGACTGATATAGAGACAAAGCTTGGGGATTCAAGCATACAAAGATACCCTAACATACATGCACACACACAAGAACTCAGGAGTAAAGTAGTTAGCTTGGATAGGAAACACAAGTCTTTCTAATGGCGATAATTGCCTGAAAGGATGCTGTTCCAATGATGAATTAGGATAGATAGACTCAACCAACAAGAACAATAGGTTGAGCCGGAGACTCTAGCTAGAGATCATAATGGCACAGGACCGTCATGAAATCTATCCAGACCCCATTTTCCTGAGATTTTGGGGAGCATTTATACCCTTAAGACTAGGCTGAGGTGAAGAGTTGCTATGGTATATCAAAGTATTCCAATTGCTATTGCTTTGAAGTAGACAATTTCCAAAAGAGGGGAGTTAAGATGTTGATGTTATCTCATCTTCAGCTGGACACATCCTGGTTGGCACTCATAAATCTTTTAGTCAGCTCCTAAGCCTGACCTTTTTGATCTGCAAATGGTTGTAAATGCAGATGTGATTGCCTACATGATGTGCTCGCTTAGAGCTCATGGCGATGAAGGATCCTTTCAGCATAGGGCTATGACAGGGACCCAAAATAGGTCTCGATATCGTAACAGCAAGGACTACTCAGAGCTGATTTTCCTAGTTTCTTCCTCTGAAATATGGCCTCCAGGACCTGGTGTTCATTGGCAGCCTCCCATCCAAGTACTCACCTGGGCTGAACCTGCTTAGCTTCCAAGAGCAGATGGGATCTGGTGCCTTTAGGTTATTTAGGCTCTAAACTAGGGTTTGAATCCCAGCTCAGCCATGGAAACCCACTCGAGTGACTTTGGGCAAGTCACATGCTCCCAGTCTCAGAGGATGGCAATGGCAAACCCATTCTGTAGAAACTTGCCAAGAAAACCCCATGATAGGGTTACCATAAGCTGAAAATGACTTGAAGGCACACAACATCAAATCATAGCTAGAGAGCCAGGGTGGTGTAGTGGTTTGAGCATTGGACTATGACTCTTGAGACCAGGATTCAAATTTCCACTTGGACATGGGTACCAACTGGGTGACCTTGGGCAAATCATACCCTCTCATCCTCATAGAATCATAGAGTTGGAAGAGACTCCAAGGGCCATCCAGTCCAATCCCCTTCTGCCATGCCAGAAAACACAATCAAAGCACCTCCGACAGATGGACATCCAGCCTCTGCTTAAAGACCTCCAAAGAAGGAGACTCCACCACAATCTCCGAGGGAGTGTGTTCCACTATCAAACAACTCTTACTGTCAACAAGTTCCTCCTAATGTTTAGGTGGAATCTCTTTTCCTGTAGTTTGCATCCATTGCTCCATTGTGTCCTATTTTCTGGAGCAGCAGAAAACAAGCTTGCTCCATTCTCAATAAGACATTCCTTCACATATTTAAACAAGGCTATCATGTCACCTCTTAACCTTAAGGCAAAGGCAAACCCACTCTTGACAAGACATTAAGGTTCACCTTAATGTCCCCATAGGTCAGAAATGACTTGAAGGCACACAACACCAAGGAAACTTAACCCATATGTAGCTCAGTCATAGGATTGTGAGAGACACATCCTGTATGTAGCTCTGTTGTAGGATCATGGCCAAGGCGTTCAGAGAAATTGGAATGAACCAGGGCAAACCTGATGCAAGTCTTACACTGAAGAATCAGTAGGTTCAACAAACCAACAAAAGTCCTTACAGCCAGAAAACCCAAGACCTATGATCAAAAAACCAAACTGAAGGGACCCTTCAGTTTGGTTTCTTAATCAATAGGTTCCTCAGAAACCACCAAAGGAGGGTGATGGCTCCCATCTCACTGGAGCAGTGAATCCACTCCTGGGTTTAATCTGAACTTTCCACTAACTTTGGGTTTAACCCTGGGTTTGATCTGAGTTTTCCACTAACATTGAAGCCATCAGCTTTTGATCACTAAGTTCTACTTAGGAAAATCTCCACCTCCGCCTGTTTAGTAGGCAGAAATAATTTACCCCTTTATACTATTTATATCTAATCTTTTCCCCATGAACAGGACTCAAGGTGCTTAAAATTTGACAGCATGCCATTATAACCTCAAATGTATGAAAGGATAAAGGATTGAAAGCACGAGTTGAAAACACACCAGGGGAGGGGGGGAAACTACAGCCCCTCCACCCAGTTAAAATGCCCTTTATGGGAAGGGAGGTCAGTTTCCAGGGCGCCCTCTGAATAAAAAGTACTTTGTAAAATGAAAAGGCAACAGGAAAGGAACCAGCTTAGCCTTTCTCCATGCGGAGAACTGGATCTCACATCCCTGATCTGCCTAGTCT